TATATCTAATGAAACTTCCAGCTGAAAATGTCGAAAGATAAGCCTAAATTTTGTTTAAAATAGATAAAGCATGCAAAATGATTTCTCCTTCATGCATAAAACTATATAGGAAGACTGAGTGTAAAGATGGATATATCCTGTGGCTTAAATTGGATGAACTGCACAAGTACCAAGCAAAAACATACAACTACGCAAGCTAAGTCCAAGGTAGTAATGCTTTGTGCATTCATGTCTCTTGAAATCCCAATGGGCCTTAGACCAGCAAACATCTTATGAAATATGCCCCCAAAAAGAGAATTCATCTCTAAAATTTGAGGATTCTGCTCTTGGACAAAGTCATAATTACTTCAGCTGGGGGAATCTGAGGATTTGGCCACTATTTTCGGATGTAAGAATGTCAATCTCCAGACTAAATATTTAGGTCATCAACTGGGTGCAAAATTCATAGACACTGCATCACTGGACCCTGTGGTAAAAAAAATTCAAATGTTGTTTGTTAGGTTAGAAGAGGGGGCTACTTTCAAAGGGAGGAAGACACATCCTCATCACAAACTCAATAGGTAATATGACCATTTATTTCATGTCTTTAGCCACAATTCCTGAAAGTATGCAGAGAGATTGGAGGCGATGCAATGTAAATTTTGTTGGGATGACTCGTGAAAAAGGCAATATCATCTTGTTGCCTGGGACGTGGTGAAATATCCACATAAAAAAGATGGTTTGGGAGTGAGGTCTTTGGTCGAGTTCAACAAGGCTCTTTAAGAAAAATGACTTTGGAGATTAATGAGGGAAAGGGAGAGTTTATGAAGAAAAGTGATAGGGGCTAAATTTGGGGTGGAGAAACTTGGGTGGTACTACAAAATTCTAAATGGGACATATAGTGTTGGACAAGTGTCCAATTGCACTTGGTAAACAGATGGAACTAAAACAAGAAGATGCTACTGCCCAAGCTCGGGCCCAATCTCTCTCGACCCAGACTTTCTTAGCAGATTAAAGAAATATGGACAAAAGATTCTAAGCCTAAATATCATACACTTATCGTCCGAAAGGAGACTACACCGTGTAAAGTACCCAAAGGAAGCCTAAATCTCCTTTGAAGCAGGAGTTTGCATTTGTTAAAAAACTAAGGCATCACGTTGTATTGCATTTTTTCACTGAAGGTAGCCTAAATAGGATTCTTACTTTGGCTAACTAGACAATAAGAGGATGCACAGAGGTAAAGGGCTGTTTTTTATGCCTAAAAGTGTGGGAATCCCCTAGTCACCTTCTTCTTTCATGTTCCAAGATTAATAGACTTTGGGATTGGCTCTTGCTCTCTTCTTAAACGCTCTTGAGTCATGCAAGAACACTCTTAAGGAATATTTGGAGCGCTCAAATATTCCAGAAAAAAGCACACTTGCATTAGGTTTATTGGTTTGTTATACCAAGGTATTGTCGCTCCTAGGTGTTAGGGCTCCCATTTCGCCTTTCCTCCCATCACAAGACAATGATAGACCAGTTCCTTTATCTTTCTAAGGGTACCGATAACTGAATTTCCATTTTTTTTTTAGCCTAAATGATAGAGAAATTGATGAACTATCCATGTTAAGCCTCTTAAGTTCTTTCGAAAACTACTTGACAACCTAACCACAGGGTATAGACAGATTCATTTGTTTAATATACTTGTAAATCTTTCTTCAATCACATTACTAGAAACCCTGATTGCTATTGTAACATTTTACCAAGGCTTTCTGACAGTTTGAAATTTCTTCTAAGGTGAAGGTATTCGCATGGACTGCTTTTCTCAATTGGTTTAACACTAACGCACTGTTGCAAATTCGTAGTTAACCGACCCTTGTTTCCTGACATTTTTTTAATGTGCTAAAGCCATAGAGAGCTACATAATCTTCTTCCTCCATTGTGAGATGATGTGGAAATTATGGTGCAGGCTTTTTGACACTTCCAACTTATTTTCGGCTGCCCCTGCTTCATTGGAATGCTTTCTTAGCTCAAGCAGTGGTGGTGTTGGTATTAGGGCTGGCTAGACCATTATGGGAAGGTGCATTTTTCCCGGGACTATGGACAATTTGGTTGGAAAGAAATTATCGTACTTGACAGTCGCTCTTTCATGGAATCACTTCTTCGGAGAAGATGACCTTCTTGGCTTCCCTTTGGGCTAAAGCTCATGGGAATTACTTGTTATCTATCTGTTTGACATAAGGAGTCAGGATGTTGTGGTCACATTAGATGCTTCTGGGTTTTGCTTCTATTGTTTTGCACTATGTTTTTGTTTTCTTATCTTTTCCATTTTTCTTCAACTGGATAACTTATTTTCTGTACTTTTTGTTTCCTTTTCTCTTTGCAATAATATTTCTTATTCTATGTCAAAAAAAGGGAAGAAAAAAGGAAGATCATCTTTTTCATTCCCTTGTCTATTTCTTGGGTTATCTGAAAAGAGAAATAGAAGAGCTTTTGTAAAAGAATGTATCCCTATTTCTCAATTACATAACTATATGTATGTGTATTTTCTCAATTTGGATAATTATATATCAGTGTTATTGTTTTTTGATGTTAGACACTAATTTATTGTAGAATGTATCTATACTACTCTTATCTCAAAAAAACAAAAAAAAGAATGTATCTATACTTCTCAATTTGGATAGTTATGCATAAATGTTATTGTCTGATTGATGTTAGACATTAATTTATAATAGAGTTTATATATCCATATGTTTGTTTTCTGGAAAATTATATATCTCTGATATTTTTAAACCAGCCACTAGCAAGTAACATCCTAGTCGACAGTTAAAGGTGAAAGTGAAAATATTGATATAAAAACCAAAGAACCTGATGCAGGCGTGCTCTTTTCTGGAATATTTGATCTTCATAGGATCCAACAGCCTGAATAAAGTGCTCTACTCTCCTCAAATTTGGCTGAAAAAGGACAGTCAGAAGTAATGGCAGAACAAGCTCCAAAATGAAAGCCGAAACGAAAAGCCATATTCAATTGAATAACTTCATTCAATTATGGCTGCTACAATACATTGAACAAACCATAAATACCTTGCTCGCATTAGTCAAATACCCTCCAATTGACCTAAATTCCTTCTTATAAACTGCCAACAATAAGTTGATAGCACCCTGGAATAAAGACAACAAAAGCACAGCAGAAAAACAAAGCTTTACTTTCTCAGAACTTATGCAAGTGTAGTTTAAAGAAAATAGAGCTATAATATGTAACATAATCACCAACATATTGGCACTGCATATCAAAACTCAATCTCTAGAGCTAATAGAAGAAGTTTCATTACTGCATTAAAATCTAAAAAAAAAAAAAAACCTCAAGCTTTCATGATTAGAAATATGACCTCCGCGGCACAATGAGAGATTGACATTTTATAATGCTAGGCTGATATCACCATTTAGATAGCATTTGGTGACACTTTATTTAGGAAACTGGATACTACAGAAGCGTCCAATCCTTATTTGGTGCCAAAAGTCAAGTTACAGAACATAATAAAATTACACAACTTTGTCCCAAAACTTGGTTGAACATACGTACCCCAAAACTTGGTATAGAGCATAAATTTCTGTTTACCAAATTAACTTGGCATATTATTAATTTTTTATTCCTAAACTACTACTTACCATTCATATAAAAAGTGCACCTTTTTTTGTGTTAGTAAAGTTAATAATTTAGAGTATCTTTCATAATAATGATAATATACTATGGATTATTTTTTATTCAAACATATACTATGTAACATGATAATCTTCTGCAAACTACATACCTCACGAATCTCTAATGTTGGCATATGTGGCAAGAAATCGTTGCCAACAAAGAAACACATAAAAATGAAATCATCAACAATGCACTCGAAATCAATCTCAAATGGAGGATTAGGAATCCTCATCTCATATTCCAGATATTCTCTAAGAGTTGAAATGTTGAGGAACTGCAAAATAAAGAAATTCAAAACTGAAAGTTATATATATACTGCATTATCCGAAGATAGTATATTTCGAAACATCATTTTATGTAACTTACTGAATGTTTTGCTCCGAAAATACCTGGGTATGGTTTCTTGACCGTGATACTCTCATCACATTCTCATCAAACTCTCCTGGCCTTCCTCTTGTCCTTTCCTCTGCAATCTGCTGCTAGGTGGCCCATCTGACCACATAGAAAACATCTGTCTTGTTGTCCAGGAGTGAAGACAATCTGAAAACGGGCCGTTCAAAGAGAGAACCCATTACTTTCTTTTTTCTTTCTTTGGTAAGACAAGAATTAGTAAAATGTACCAGCAGAGATGCCACCCAACTACATCTACTTACATTGACAAAAGCCAATGAGCTCTACAAAATTATCTTAATACAGAAAATTTTTTGAGGAGAAGAAAAATACCCATTAAAAGGCATCAAGGGGGTGCCACTCACTTAAAAGAAATTACAAGTCTCTCAGAACAAAGTATCCAGCAGAAACAATACCTAACCCATCTTGAGTAGGGTTGGCTGATACAAAGTATCCAGCAAATCATAATCCTCCTCCTTCCTTCCCTTCATATTTCTGTCTGATTCAGGGACTCTCTTCTTTTTTTTCTCTTTTTTGAAATAAAAGTATAACTATATTAACAGGCACGAAGGGCTGTCAACCTGTATACAAATTATTTACAGCTCTAGCAAAATATCTACAAGGTTCCCAAAATCCTCTATAGAATAAAAAGAATGATCCAGAATAAAAAAAACCGAAAGTCTAAAACTATCTATTCCCAATTCTATCAAAATCCCTTTCACCATCATCCCCTCAAAAGCTCTTCTATTTCTTTCCTTCTAGATTACTCAAAAGATGGTAGGCTGGATGGGTTCCAAATGATTCCTCCTTCCTTTGATACTCTTCCATGCCCAAATTTCGTCCCTGACCAAGCCCGCCATCATCCACCAGGGAACCTCTTCTTGGTCATGGCTCTCCAGTCAGCAAGGAAACTCTTGGTGATAGAAAGAAAGTTTCTTGTTGTCGCCTTGCAAGGGAATGAAACTGACATTCTTAGATTCTCTAATAATGGTAGAGATAGGAGACCTGTAAATTTGTTTGATTAAGAGGCTGCCTGGATTTCAAGTCCCCCTGTGATCTGTTCTGGGAATCTGGCCATGCCTTGGAAAATATCTTTTAGAGGAGAGAGGATGATTCTTCTGATTTTAGGACAGAATTCCAGAAGTGGATTGCTGGAGTTAAGCATGGAGAAAAAATTGGTTGGTGGCAGCTTCTCCTTGCAGTCAGTAAATTTGTGGATATGGTGTGTAAAAGGGATGTTATTGGTGCTTGACAAGCAAGCATCTATGCTGACCAATCCCAAACCTCCATATAGCTAGGTTTTCTGTCCCGACTTAGTTTCTCTTCCTCTAGAAGGGAGGGTTCCTATCTACATCTATTCTGTTTTCTCTTTGGTTTAGGAGGATTTCTTGTCCTCCAGTTTTGTACTTCACTCTCCGCTTTCAATAATATTTCTATTTTATCCAAAAAAAAAAGATACACATGTATGTGCATAAGATAAGGTGATCTCTATTCCTCCTCCACCCAAATGCCCTCCAAGAGTCAAACCTCTATTGCTTTGCTCTCACCAATATTTGTGAGGCACTTCAATTGCTAAATGAAAAAAAAAGGTGCCAAGGCCTTGTTGACCATGGAGAGAAATATATCAAGAGGACTTATTATGACAGTTCACATCCAATATCAGCAGTGCCTTACTGAAACGTAATAGCTCAATGGCCTTAATAGAACCATCAACTAAGACTTTTGGAGGGTAGGCCTAATCTATTGTGAATTATTTGGCTCAACTACCCCTTGTAAAACCACTAGCCTTCTCTCGAAAGGTGTTTATTGCCAGTGCTTTTGAGGTTAAAGAATCACAAGTATATGTTCTCAGACAGCACCATCAATCCAGGATTGAAGTGTTACAAATGATTTATTGCTTCGAAATTTTCTTATCAACAATATCATAATCAATCCAAACATAAGCCTATACTTCGAAATTGATTCTGACATTTACCATTGAGAAATTCATTATTTTTTTAGCAGTGAATATTTCCAATATAGTTGTAAGAAATAAGAACTTAGAAAAGTTTCAAGTTTCACGGAACTTTTCAAGAATGGGAAACTCTAATGGATGCACAGACCTCCCGGAGGATTGAAAAATGAACTTCATGTGTAGCCAAGGCAAGCATAATCAGATCAGCATCCTGCCATTTACACCAAAACAAAGTACATTTCATTAATCCAATACAATTAAAGAATATGAAATGAAAAATAACCACCAAAAAGATAAACATAATCAGCATCTCAACCTGAGGAGTAGATGCACACTGAAGAAATCATACCAAGCCATACAGACAATGTTTTGTGTTTGGATCATAACCAGGAAGATTCCTTTGAAGACGGATATAAGAAATGATTTTATGCTCCCCTTCACCAGGAACGTTTCCATCAGAAAGAATAACCTTCAAAAGAAAAATACAAAACATAAAAACAAAGCTTAATGATCACACTAAAAAGCATCAAGGATTCTTCTTTTTTTAATAGAGGAAATATTATTGAAAAAGAGAGCATAAGAAAAAGACAAAAACAGAGGATGAGACATCCTCCAAATGCCTCCTAAAAACAGACGACAAACAACAGTGAAATAAAATAAAACTAAATACAACATAGACCTTTCTGCATAACAAAGATAACAATATCTCTCTAAAATAACCATGAGTCTTAGCCCATGAAGAGGCCAAGAAAGTCTTTCTATTCCAAAAGAAACTGGGATCGGAAGTAGTGGTCTTCAAGAACTCTATGGTTAAATGCACCAAGGATTCTGAACTATGGTATTTACAAAAGAAACCAAATTTCAAAAAACAAATAACAAAAACATCATGTTACCTTAATCTTTTTCCATCCAGGATCATAGTTTAGTCTAAGGTGAATATAGTATTGCAGTGCAATTGATAAAACAGACATGAAGCCAGTTCCTGGAGTGATAACATTAGAATCAACCAGTTGTGACTTTTCTTTAGGTGGAAGTTTTCTCCCCTCCTTCTCAAACTCCTCCCGCAATCGCTCTTCTTCAGCTGCCTAGAAGAGAAAAAGACGAAAGATCAATTATAACATTATGGTTTTCTTTTCTTCTTCAGATATTAGACAGTAAAAAAATAGTTTACAGATGCAGCAGGGAGAGCCTAATGATGCCTCCAACCAGTTTTTTGAACGAAAAAGAAAGCTTTTCTTGTTACCCAAAACAAAGAAACCACGTTGATGGCTTAGGTTATATTTCCATAAACTAAAACTCATCCAAAACTACCCGAGGCTTTCAGGACCGACCTCTAAATCTCAGATTAATAGAAACAACAAAAACAATATTGCAACCATTGTGGCATAGCCCAGTTGGTTAGTCCTCTTTACTCCGTACATGAGGTCATGTGTTCTATACTTTTAAAATATGATTACCCAAAAAAAGAAAAACAAAGGAAATAAGGAAAGCAGAAAATTTTATTTAATCAACTTCGGACAGTTCTTATTAGGACCATATACCTACTTCCACAGTATATTGTTCTCCCTTATATGTATCTTCCATACTTACCTATTTTGTCATAAACATCATTACTGCCACGCACATAATAACAACGAAAACACCTCATCACTGGTACATCTTGGTGAATAATTCTACTTAAAATATAATTTCACCGGTAAACAGAAAAAATAACATATAATCCACAAGCATATGCACATGGAAACACATACCGCGTCTGCTGCATCTTTAGCTGCTCTAAACCGTCTAGACCGCTGTTGATTCATTTTAGCCCTTGGAGCAACACCATCTACCAGTTTGTTTCCAAAATATCAGTATTATACACAATGCAGATTAACTGCATCCAGTTCAGGTTACAAAAGAATCAAACTATTTACTCACCAATAGCCATATATAGTAGCTTTCGAGGTCTTACCATTACAAAAAGTTTATCTATATAATCAAAGATACACCGGAATACCTCACTAAAGGTAGTTGGAGAAGGCTGCGCAAGGAAAAACACATTGTCAAAGAATAGTCATAAACATAGCAAGTAATTAAAGTAAGGTTTTTTTTTTAGATAAGTAATTAAAGTAATTAAAGTAAGGTTATTTGCAGTTCACATAAGGAATGTAACTATAAAACAACTCTCTACAACTAACTGAAATTATATATGATATTTATATATATAAATAAACCCCTTCACCCCAACAGATACAAAAAAAAAAAAAAAGATTCACATGCACATGCACATGCACATACTCAACTATATCCACATAAGTGAAACAAAACCACTCTCAGAATAAGAGAGGTAAGCTTCTTCCTTCTCTTATCAACCCAAATACACTATTAAACCCAGTTCTCATCGCACCACCTAACATGCCATCAATCCATTCAAAGCAAGGAACTCAAACATAGCACAACAAAAAGGGAAACAAAAGAGCACCACAACACCAGATGGTTCGGAGACTCAGGAGCCCTTTTACAAAGATAACATCCATTAACCAACATTCCTCCCCATCCCCTTCTTCAAATTATCAATAGCAAAAAAAGAAAAAAGAAAAAAAGAAAAAGAAAAAGCTATATAGCAGTCGCATTAACTTGAAAATGAGTTTTAAATGGAAAGCTCTATGGTCTGACTGAGAAAGAGCCAAGTGACATAAAAAATTTCTTAGAAAAAACAGGCCATCAGCACTAACTTTCCACATTGGCCCAATCAGAAGAAACTCCGGAAAGGCAAAGGAAATTGAAACCCTAACATATTCATCTTCCCCAAAGTCATTAAAATTTCTAATGAGGTTCACTCCCGTACCACCAGCCCGTTGTAGATTGAGTTTATATCACTTACCATTACTTGTACATGGGCAGCACCTTCTTGGCGCCAATTCTTAATATATTCTCTCTATTATTATTTTTTTTTAAATATCATTTACCATTGCCTCCTCTCTCTATTTGCTCTTAGTCGTGCCTCTATGTCTTTTAAACAAAGATAAATAACATAAGAGAATCCTAGACAAACAAGAGTGACTAAGAGTGACCCTACCCCAAGGAGAAAAGAGGCCCCTCCCAACAATCCAAACGCTCAGAGATCTTACACTATAGGGTCCCAAAAGGAAACATGCCAGGAATATCCCCCAAAGGAAAGCCAAGATAAGTGAAACGCCACTTTAGAATTTCACAACCAATACAATCAAGCATTCCTCATGATATTCTCTCTATTATTTGGCGTTGGAGCAATATGATGGTCTTTGAAGGGCTTTCCTCCAATTTTACTAGTCTTAATTCTCAGCGGTTCAACCCTTAAGAATTTTGTTCAATGGTCCCTCCTTTTTCTTGGAAGAAGACCTTCTTGACCTTATTGATGGCTTGGTTACTCTTCAAGATAATTTTTGTTTTCTTGAGCCTTGGGTCTCTTACGTACACGAGTTGTGCCACATTGGTTCCCTTTATTGCATTTTATTTATCTTTCTCTAAAAAATGAAAATGCCAGAATCTATGCATGACAAAATTCAACAAAGAAATATGATTAGTAGGCATATATGTTCTTTCATTAAAAAAGACAATTAGTGGGCATAGACTGGACCAAGTAAAATCTGCATCAAACAAGAAGACAAGAACATATGTGCTGATTCAACAGCCCAAACAAAAATATCAACATGTTGACTCTCTTGACTCTCAAAAGTAACAGATTTGATCACATAAGAAAGCTCCCTGATAAGGGAAACAAATTTCCATCAATAATATCTCCAAGCAGATATAGACCAAGTCAACATACTTCTAAGCTAGTAATTAACCCTGTTGAGCATGGCTGGCCTCAAGAATTACCACTTTGATAATCTAGCAAAAAGCACTAGAATTTTTTTGTGCCTAAATGGATCGGTTACCCCAGGCCATCCCCTTTTTTTCTGTTGTGAGACTATCGTTCACTCTCACCTTCCTTAATCTCTATTAAAGGTTTGCGCCTGGGATGGTGTTGTGGCTCCTAAGTCCAGAAAGAAGATTATTTCCTCGTCCCTTTGTCTATATTTTGGGTTATTTGGTAGGAAAGAAATAGGAAAGCCTTTGAAATTTCATCCTCAACCTTTCCTGAAACTAGGGATAGCTGGCTGAGGATTCTAATTTGGTTGGCCCAGAGACAACTTTTCTGGATGAGATTGACTTTTGGATTTTTTGGTGCTTTTCAATGGATGTTTTCACTCTCTCAAAGAAAAATATAGTACCAGAACATGCATAACCAAGTCCGACCGTGTAATCATATTTTTTAAAAAATAATAAAAGTTACATTGTAGTTTCATCCTATTTAAATTCTAAGTCTAAATGTTTTTTAATACTTCAATACCTGTCATTAACCTTTAGTCATTTTATATAACTCTCGTATTAGATATTAAACTGATAAAAACAAATACTATACTTGATCTTAACCAAAAGACCGAGAAAGGTATAGTCATTTTACATAACTCTATTAACTTTTAAAATACACTTACATATCACATGCCTTCACTTTTTGTGAATAAGAATAACAATGTCAAAATGAGAAAAAGAAAAAAGAGAGGGGGGAACAAATAAAAGCCTAAAATTGGTATTTGAAAAAAGAATCACATTTATAAAAACGAAAATTCTCTTTGTTCTTAGTTGACTCATCTCCTCCGTATAATCCTACTACTTTTTAATGGACTCCATAATCCTACTTGAAGTACATGACCTGCATTGTAGTCACTTTACTTTTCAGTCTCT